CAGGAATATCATGTATTGAATGTAACTCACTCAGATGACATCACTGGCCTCCAATGGCTTTTGTAACCCTGAGAATCAAACCTAAATCTCTCATCCTAGTCATCAGGACCCAAGTGCCTGCCTTGGATTCTCTGCCTTTTGGATCCCGCTTCACACTTGTTTTCCTTCTCACCTCTCACTTAGGTCCAGCCCCACAGATTTTCTTCTCCTTCCCTCCAGCTGCCGGGGAGCTGCCTGCACCCCGGGTGTTTTCACTGAATTAATTCTCTGTCTTCCCTGAAAGTTCTTTACCCCTGATATTTGCATGATTTCCTTACTTTATATTTCTTCATAGCATGTATCTCAACCTAATTTATTATGTGATAATTTGTTTGTTTCCTTCTTGTCTAACCCTCCATAAAGTAGCCTTTGCCACAGCAGGGAAATTGCTTTTGTTCCCTGCTGTAATCTCAGTCCTTAAACTAAGGCCATGTACACAGTAAGTGCTCAATAAATATATGGCGTAAAAATTAATAAATGGCATCTCCAGCAGCAAAGGCGTAGTAATAAAATGACCAATACTATCTGGTACTCATTTTACATCGGGTAAGTTTTCAGCAGTTTACATGAATTACCTCAATCCTGACAGTCGAATGAGATTGATATTATTGAGATAAGCTATTGTAGATAGCGGTCATTGAGGAGGTAAAAGCTAGGCATTATGACTCCATGGCCTGAAATGGATATTACCTAGTGTCCTACAAATCAGGTTACAAAGGCTGCTCTATTTGAATATTTTATAGTGGATATTCCTTAGTGAGATTCTCAGTAATTAAATATGGAAGATGCTTATCGTTTGGAGCTAAACTCTTCGTATTTCATGCTTTGGGGCCTTTAGAAAGTTATGTAACTCAGGGCAAGTCTCTAAATGCATATGACTCCCAGTTCATCTTTTTCAGAAGAGATTTATACCAGCTACTTCAAAAGCCCCTGGGAAGAAAGCAGATATTATGTATAGCATGCATGTTTAGACAGCCGTGTTCACTGAAAATGATGAATAACTGCTTATTTTTATGGGGGTGTTACGAGTGGTAGTTCTAATGGCACTACGTCACTGTTGAAGCTGTGATGTGCCCGGCACAGCCGTGACTGCCATGCCCGGAGGGCTGGCCGCCACCAGACTGACAGGAGGCTGAAGTGTGGGGATACCAAGGAACCTCATGAGAAAGGTCAAGTTTGTAACACTTGGTGACAGTTAACATCCGGGAGGAATTAATCCAAGATCAAGGAGACCCAGCTTCTCACAGTAACTCCAATGTTACCAAGTGAATGGAAAAGAAGTCAATTTGATGAAAGAAAGAGCCTGCTATTGATTTGGAAAATAAAGTTCAGGGTTAGCTCTGTCTGGGTGGTTCAGTTGGATGGAGCACAGTCCCACAGACCAGGAGAGGTTGCAGGTAAGATCCCCAGTCAAGGTGCATGTAGGAGGCAACCAACCAATGTTTCTCCCAAACTGATGTCTCTCTCTCCCCCTTCCTCTCTCTCTAAATTCAGTACAAAATTATTCTTGGGTCAGGATTAACAAAAATTTAGGGTTAAAAATGATGACCTACAAAGTGCCTAACATTCCAGTGCCATCAACATAGTCTGCTGGCCAGTGGTAGGAAGATATGGAAATTGGAGCAATAATGAAGATAAACTTACTGGAACTTCTGAATGAAGTGGAAGGTGTTATAATAGCGTGTAATATAGGTATAAACAGAACAAATAATATCTTATTCATGTGGCAGAAATGTTATAACATTTTATATGTAAATACACCAACTCTTACAACAAACTCTATAAGATGAATAACATCATTATCCTAATTTTTCAGATGAGGCACACCATAGGTGCACAAAGGCCAGGTAACTTTCGTAAAGGCCATTCAGTAATCGTGTGGATCCTGGGAGTCTGTATTACAAATAATCTTCCTGGAAAAACCATGGAGGGGGCTGCATTGAGCCAGAGAACACACCAAAGACAAGATTGGAAATATTGGTAAAAGTGCTGAGAAGAATGATGGCTTCAGAGCATTTTTTAAAAATCAAATAGTAAGAGAACAAAAATGAATTGCCAGCTGATTAATTAAAATAAAATTTGACAATAATGATGTGACACATGAAGAATCAAAAGGTAGTTAAATGTTTCAATAGCAGCACTGAAATAAAATTCCTCCCATTCTCATTTAATTATGCATGCATAGTTGCTCATGCTTATTAGAAATAGCAGTTTGTTGAACCTTGTTTCATTCTGTTGAGTAAGATTCATCTGCAGGTAATTTAATTAATGGAAGAGAAAGAAGCTTCTTTTATCTCATTATATGAATTTTCATTTAAGAACTTACTTCTTATGTTTAATAATTTTCAAAAGTTGGTATGTACTTATGGCTTTTAGACAAATTTTGGTATCTTAATTTAACCTACAAGAAAAATGTAATACTTAGAGTCTCATGGTTGTGGGATATTTTAAATGGAAATTAAGTGAATATGCATGTTTTTTGTTGCAGAATTATATGAAAAGTGATCAATGCCCTTAAAATATAAAACTTATATTACAATAAACTTTTGTGAGCAAGTAGAATAGAAATACTATAACATTTCTGAATGTTAGATAATAGCTTTTCTTTTATTAATTAAAATATAGTAGCGGGTACCAAGTTTATATATTTTGATTCCATTATTGTCATTTTATAAAGCAATAATAATAACAATATATTATAATAACTATAAAAATACAATATAAAAAACCAGAGGATAAAGGGTGAGAAAAAGAATTTCAACTACACAGTTGTAATATTCTTCTGTTTTAAAAATAGTATAAATTTTGAATGTATACCATGATGACTTAAATAATGTAATAACTACAGAAATCAATAGCACAAAAATATAGTAAATAGTAATACACAAGAAAAATGAGATAGAAAAAAATACAGAACTTACCCTTCAAAAGGCAGAAAATGAAATACCCCCTTTGCCTTTGTCCATGTGTCCTTTTTACATGTTCCTTGTTTACTCTTCTCCTCTTTCCCCCATGACCCCTTACCCGCTCCCCTCCAGTTAGTGTCAGTTTGTTCTTTATTTCCATGTCTCCAGTTATATTGCACTCATTTGTTTGTTTTGTTGATTGGGTTCCACTTATAGGTGAGATAGATGGGGATGGGTGGGGTGGGGGTGGGAATTGGGGGGGGATGGAGATAACTGTACATGAACAACAATAAAAAAATAACTTGGCATCCTTACCACATTTGGAGATCCTTTAGTTCAAAGACCTCAATATAATTATATTGCAAATATATAAAAATATATAAAAAATATATATAATTTTGCTATAATTCCATTAAGGAAAGCAACAATTTATCAAGACAAATGTAATGTTCCCTGAAGCTCGAATCCAAATTTGAAGCAGAAATGGATATGTATTTTGAAATAACAGAAATTGAATACAGCTGTTTTGCAGATAAGTTTGTGCATAAGCTGTGGACATGACGAACATGCGCATGCGTATGTAAAAACCTCACTAGGACCTCACTGATTTTCCAGGCTGGTGTGGCTTTGGTAGCACTTCCTCAGTTTTTTGTTTCCTGTGCCTGCTTTTCATATCCATGAGTCAAGTTGATTCTCAACTTCATTCCACGATTTCCAACTGCAGAACCAAGTCAGAAGATGCTTTGAAGGTCTGACTTCTCTGTTTGACAAGCAATGCTCAGTTCTGTTTGCAGCTCAGAAGCAGAGAAGGGAAGATGGTTATAACCCCCCACATCACACACATGCCCAAACCCAAATCAGTAAAGGAAAAAGTAAAACAAGAAGCTATAACTGTTTTCACCTATCTAGGATTGCAGGCATAAAATTTTGAAAGGACCTAAGAAAATAGGAAATTTTTTATTTTTTTGTACCCTTCATGGGCCAAAGATCATACATGTATATAACAAAAAGTATCCAGAGAAACAATAGGAATAATTTTTTTGTAATAATTCTATCATATATCCATTTCTTCCATGCAGAAATTATGATGTTTTTGATCTCATAAAATGTTTGGATGACATTTTTTATATAAATAATTCAGAGGAAAGGAAAGCACTTAAAAGCAGAATGTACCCTGCTTTTGTTCTTGGAGGTTGGGAGGTAATCTAACATAGAATAAACAGTTTTAATGTGTTTGCTATAATGTCATTCTTTAATAGCATTTTATGTAAGTAACACTCAAGCATGGCAACATAATAGCCCTGAGAAATACACAATTCAAACTGAGTGGAAAGTATTATTTTATGAGGTGAATAGACAAACACATTAGGCAGTGGAGTGAGGATGGTATTTTCCTTTTTTTATCTTGGAGCTAGTTCTTCCAATTCTCAATACCTGTGCACCATGAAAGGAACCTTGTGATGAAACCATAAAAACTGAAATATAGACCCAAGGCCCCTTAGGAAAAACAATTTATTGGTCATAAAATTCACCAAATAGCACATACATGGAATTTGTTGCAATTGGTTTTGACTTTTGCAGAGGGGACTGCATTCTTGTAGAAAAAGATTATTGGGTAAAAAGAATGGTAGGATAAATTAAGAAAAAGAGGAAAAATTATTTTCCACAACAGTCTTCCAGTTTTGTCATCACACACAGAATTCCACGAAATTCTCAATGCCTCTTGTTAAGTAAACATTTTTACTTAGTTAGTCTGCTTATTTCCTTGTCTAGACTAAAGATTTTTACAGGCTCAACTCTGCTTCCAAACAAAGCTACAGTCTCTCTTGACTTTAGATAGAAGGGTATATACAGGAAACTGTCATCTTTTTCTTAAAACTTTTTTTACTTAGATAAGAATTACAAAGCTCCAGAAATGCACTGAAATTAATAGAAGGAATACAATGACATTATTTTTAAATTTTTATTTATTTACTTTTTTTAGAAAGTGGGGAAAGGGGAGAAAGAGAGGGAGAGAAACATCAATGTGTGGTTGCCTCTTGCACACCCCATACTCGGGGCCTGGCCTGCAACCCAGGCATGTGCCATGACTGGGAATTGAACTGGCAACCCTTTGGTTCTCAGTCCGAGCTCAATCCACTGAGCTACACCAGCCAGGGCAAAAATTAAGGTTAAACTGAGATATAAGCAAGGAAGATACTGAGGAAAAAAAATGTGGAAATTAGGAAGTGGTACAGAATCACCAGATTGAAAGATTTGTTGGGGTAACTTAATCTTTATTGTTTCTTCTTTCTCCACTTCCACGACTACAGATTACAAGCCCAGAAATAGAAGAAATCTCAAAATCTAAGTTTTGACAGGCAAATGCTTTATTCAATATCCAATTAAATATTAATGTACTAACTACATTTAGCTTATTTTCTTACACGGAGTGAACATTCACTGTAAGGACAGTTTCATCATGCTAACATTTATTCACAAACCTACACTTAGAAAAAAAGTGCTTTTCTAGGCAATGTTATGTACAAGACAAATGGAAAACATATTAAGCCTTCGAATTGTCAAACTACAGAAAATGAAACCAATCAACCACCAACATTCAGTATACTTTAACAATAGTTTTAAAAAAGGACATTTTCTTTACATTTGGCAGTTCTGTTCAAGAAGTATTTCTATAATTTTCAAAGTAATTATAGCCTATACAATTTAATAATGTTCAAAGTAAAAGGTATTAAACAGCACAAATAACATTAGCACACCAAACACCCTTGTCATTTATCAGTTTGGGTGTACATGAGGCAAAGGGTCCTGTGCAGGTTCCCCTATTTTCTGACTCTGAAACAAATGTACTTTCAATTCTGTATATAGAAGAGCTTGACCAAATATAGAAGATGGTTTTGGCTTTGCACACATTTCTTTTTGTGCACATAGAGGAGAAATAAACAAGTTTATTTAGAACCTTTAAGCAGGCAAATTATTTGTATAATAAGTTGCTTTAGAGACTACTTCAGAATCATATACATTTGCAACAATAGTTTTTCATTAATAGCTCTTCTTTAAAAATGAATAACATTTTTGTTGGGTTTAAAAGCTATTTTAGCCCACTGAGGCTTTCTCTTATAATGTCAGAATTCACTACCACTTAGATAATTAATCATATTCTTAGATTCTGATTGCTGGTTACATTCATTTTGACAAAGGTTTTTAGTTCTTGAAGCTTTGTATTGCAGTGCTTAAAAAGGTGACCTATTTACCTTGATCACTTTCTTCATGGAAGGTTAACTACAAAGAAAAGTTTTGTGATAAATTTTGATTAGGTATATCATGTGATTTCTGTTTGTGCCTGGAAACATAAAAATATCTTAAATGGTAAATGAAATAAAAGAGCAAAATTTGTGACTTTAAAAGAAACATGAAAGAAAGAAGATACGTTCATATTATTTCATCTTATTTGGAGTAAAAAAAACTCAATAAATTATTGAGTTTTACACTTTTTAAACAATTTAAAACTATTAAATTATTCTAATAATATAATTCAAGCATACAACTAGAAGATAATTCTTTTATTCATCACAAAACTTCCCACATTTGTATTTACATACTAATGAACATAATACACAAACATCCTTTTAAAAGAAAGTATGTCTGTTTTTATTCAGACCAGACTTTTTTCATTTCTCCACAAAATGAACACCTCCTCAGGACACACAAAAGATCATTAAAAATAAGCTAGTGACTTAATAATCCAGATAATATCTGAGATTGGTAAACAACAAAACATGTGAAATCATGAAATTAATTCATAATTAATTATTAAAGTTAAAAACTAGGCACATTTCCATAAACCTTTGTTAATAAAATTTAATTTTCTACTTTGTTTTTCGTGTTATTCCATTGTGATGGTTTCATCACTCATGTACACGAGGGGTGATATTTGAAAACATTTTCTTCTTGTATTGTTTAATTCGTCACAAAGACTGAAATACTAGAACAAACTCAATAACTGATTAAACAGTATTAGATTATAGTCTCTGCGTCTAGAATAACTTCAATGACTTCCAGAAAAAGTGATTTTATTTGGAGGATGAAAATATAGAAATATAAGCTTAAATGCTTCACTGACATAACTCCAACTGAAGACATTTATAGTGAGGGTCATTCATTTTACCTTCCTGATACAAGGGAACAAAGGTGAGCAGGCAGAGAGGATTTCTAATTAATCCATCAACTCTGCACACAATGACAGATCTCCACAACTGGCAATTTTTGCAAAATTAAAAGTCACTAACAACATATTTAACTCAAAGCATATAAACTCATCGTTTTCTCCTTATGAACCCCATTTTAATATAACTTAGATGTTCTCTTCCTTGTCTTTTTTCTATTCCACATACTTCGACAGCTACTCTGTCACCTGCATTTATACAACTTTAACCATGTAAAATTGATAAACTTGGTATCTGTTTTCATATATTAAATCAGTGACAACTAGAAATCCTTAAAGAAAGGAAGATCACAGGTTTATGGCCCTCGTTCAATTAAGGGATGTAAAAATTCTGGTTTTATAACCACTATATGGATTTGAAGAAAAGGTAAATAAAGACATAAATAAAATCTAGGTTAATTTAAATATTTATATGCACCATGAGGACCATGACATGTCTAGTGCTAGTCGACATCATACAAGAAAATGCATGCTCAATTCAGTTCATGTAACATTCACTTTAGGAGTGTATGATCACCTTTCTCAGGAATTTCCTGGGGGTAAGAACAAGACTGTTCAAAATTTGATCACTGAAGATGGATGGATCATTGACCACTATGGGAATCATAAGTCCCATGTAAGAAAAACATTAGTACTCTGGCAACTGATTCCTCCTATTTCTACTTTTCCTGCTATTGATGAGAGCCTTTAACTTGCCATAGTCCCCTCTCATCTTCTGAGATTCTTCTCCGTGTTGATGTTGCTGCCGAGTGTCTTTGCAATACTGGTTAATCATCTGCATCTCAGAGTTGCTGAATGCCCCCATGATGTCCTTTGGGTGGAAGGGCAAAGCCCTCACAGAGCTGGCCCAGGTCCACGGTGACCATTTGTCTGTTACAACAGCTACCATTTCGGAGTCTAAAACTTTAAAGTTGATCTTGGCTATGGTCTGCTTGAAGCTGTTTTCTGTTGCAATGCAGTGGTACAGTCCTTGGTCAGAATCCTGAATGGAACGGATGAGGAGTCCTTGTGAAGTGGCTATGATGCGTTCATTCAGCTTGACCTGAAAGAGAGACACACCAGAGTTCTGAAAATCCAACCCTGTATCTTCTAAAAACATGACCAACAGATACAGAATACTGCTGGCTTTCACAAATGTGGCAAAAATATGGAATAATAACTAACTTCCTCCCTGGTGGACACAGATTTTAGGTGAGTCTCATGGCCTTCTTTTGTACAGGAGATCTTGTCTCATTAAACGAGAGAAGTGTACTGACTCATTGAAGAGAGGGTGAAGCCATCGCCCATGATTGCCAAAAATAGCTTGTGCATTCCTTTTGGATACAAGCGGTTCCTCCACAGATAAGCCCAGAATATTGGTTGCTTCAGGAATGTGATTCATAGTCCACATACGTAGCAAAAGAAATTCATATATTATTTAAAATATCTATGTCATCCTGGAGTTCTCAACTTTTATTGTAACGAAAATACTTATTGGTAAAAAACAATTATATGATTGCATTTTATCTTTTTTAGTGAATGAATAAATATTCTCCTAACTAAAAATTACACAAGCCGTTTTGAACATTATTAGGGGCTTTTTTTCCGATTATCTCACACTAAAGAATCACTAAAAATAAGCTGGAATGCTGTTGTCTTGTAAGACTTCTCAGAGGTTTTATTTCAAGGGAAAATAATAAAAAGCTATAAGGTTAATATGTACTTATGTTATAATTTGATACTGAAAAAAAAGCTATCATTTGCCAGGTATCAGATAAATGCTAGAAATCCATGCTCCTTACATTTCCAGCTACAGTATTGTCAATGAACAGATTAAAAACTGAAGTGGTAAAAATTTTCTTGAGGTGTATTCTCGGCAATATACTTCCACTGAGGAAAAAAGAAATTTGACTCAAAATAATATAAAGAAATGCACGTGAAGTGTTTTTTAATGGTATATTTCTGTGTAGAGGTTTATTTTATTACTAATGGAATCCAAATCAAGGAAAGGCTCTTGTAGATAAAAAAAAGTTAGACACACACAACAGAACAGAAAGAAAACTATAGCATTGAAGTACAGACAACAGAACAGAACTAAAAAAGAGCAGGAAGTAAATATTAAAATATATAAAGGAAAATGTGGATGTTAATTTAATTTTGAAAGTTTAAATATACATTAGCAATAGTTTAAGTGATGTAGAAATACTTTCAGAAATGAAAGAAAAAAAAGCCTTTCATTTTTTGTGCAAAATTGGAGAAAATTTTGCAGGTTAAATTGATAATATACCATATAACATGTATATAAGAAAGATTTGGTCCAAATTTTTTTCTCAAATTTGTCTAGAAGATATACTCTTACAAGTATGCAGATATTTATTTGTTTTTGACAAGAGTAAAAACAAGAAAAACCCTAGCCAAATGATAGTTTTAAAAAACATAAGGTGTGTTTATATCATGGAATACTATGCAACCAAGAAAAATGAGGTAGCTCCACATATGTTGATATTAAACTGTGTGAAAAAGCATATAAAGTTATGGAGAATATTTGGAGAAATATATAATAATTTAATATATCATTTTGGTATCCTTATACTCTGGGAGCTGGGAAAATGTATTAAAGTGAAGGGGAGGAGGGCTTTTATTTTTTACTTTATGCTATTCTGCAAAACTATTTGTATTTTTCTCCACCAGTTTTTACCATTTGTCTTACTTTTTGAGAAAAGTTCAATATTTATACAACATTAATATGAAAAATAGTGTATATTTGCCTAAACTAGTAAAAAAGAATTAGGATAAAATCATTAAAATATCAATAGTACATTCAACTAAAGTAAGAGTGAGTGGACTTGTGCCCTGCCTAAATTCAGCACACAACACATTTTTATAATTATATAGTTATTTTTTCATAATCTTAAATTATATCTTATTCTTATATTTTTATTGAAAATAATCAAAGGAGTAATTAATATTTAATTCACCACATTCTTGAGAATTCTGAAATAGAATATTAGAATTATCACGAGATTTAATTCATAAAATTCCATTTTGAATTTCATTTATTAATTTCTGTAGCTATATATGTACTCAAGGCTATGTATCCTAATTTACTTTAATTTTAAATAATAAAAATTGTATTCAATTATTGTATATTATCTACTAAACTTTCTGCTGAATAAAAGGCAAACATTTTATTCTTGTTAGATAATTACTGCTTGAATTTTAGATTTCTTATTAACATACATACATACAGACTTTCCTAGGAAGGATGGTTCATATCCATCCTCCGTGATAGTCATTGTCACATATTATAACTTCTACCCCAGTTACTTTGTAAAACAATTATTATTATAATCCACATCCATTAAAAATAACTTAAAAGTAATTAGACTGTAGAAACCTCAAGACTTCTTTATGATAGATATTGTAGCAAAGAAAATAGATATCAAATAAACAATTTTTTATTAATAAAATTTTTAAAGTTTTTTTTGGTATCATTGATACATTGATTTAGTTCTGGAAGAAAAAAAGGGCCCTGAAGTCTATCTAGTTCATCTTTTCTCCAGATACATAAGTCCCTTCCTTTGCTAATGGTCATCATCCTGTGTCTCAATACCCAGTGACAGAGTACATACAGTTTCCTAAACAGATCTTTAACATCTTGGATAGGCATGTCTGAGAGTTAATATTTTCTCATAGGAACCAACATCTCTTTTAGAACTCTGATGCAGCATCTGCATTCTACAGAGCCTGGGGTCCATTCTACACAGCCCTGATTAGCGTAATGCGTAGTACCTACACTGCCCACACGGTACACACATACACGCAGAAGGCTCTGTTTGCCCCTCTGCTGCATCGGACTTCATGGTGTACTGCTAACACTACTCTATGGCTTTCACATGCATTCTGTCAATACATATATTGACCGGGACAACATGACACCAATATTATGAAATTCATTATTCACTATTTAGAATATTTCACCCTAGGCTATTTTATAATGTTTCCCTTTAAAACAGCTTTTTTTTTTCAGTTAGTGAAGGGTTAATGTAAGTGTTCTTTCATAACTTTAGTTTTTTTCCAAAATCACTAAATAAAGGCAATGGTCCCACAGACAATAATTCCATATATTATTTAGACAACACCTGAGCGTTACGAATAATAAAGCAGTGAGAACAAATTACCACGCAGCAGGGAAATGCTCTTTACCATAAAGGTTACGGTTTCAGGTAATTTCTTGCTGAGGAAAACTGAACTTCTTCTAAAGCCCCTTTCATCTTGTAAATCACACAAAGGTGCCGTTGTGTGAGCACTTGGCTCCTGGGTTTGCACACATCTTGTTTCTTTTACAAATGCTTCTTCACATCAGCCCCGCCCCCAACCCCCTCCGTGCGCCCCAGCTCTTGTTTCAATCACCGTGTTAGAGAGGTGAGCAGGCAGAGAGGATTTCTAATTAATCCATCAACTCTGCAGACAAAGGACTCTACGGAAAGTGGCACTTGTCATCCCAAAGACATAAAAATATGTTCACATGCTTTTCCTTTTTCCTTTGATCTGAACCTCATTGAGGGATGGGGGTTTAATGCTCTTTCCGAAGCCTGACTGATTGTTGCCCGGCTGCGTTCCTCACCTCTTTCCGCCTGTCTTTGTCTTTCTGCAACAACCACTTGGTCGAGGCCTGTGGAGACTTGGGTGTGCACTCCAGGAAAGTGGTGTTATTTTTTACTCCATACTGAACAATTTCAGCTGCATTTCTATATGCTAGAAACAAAAAACAAATGGAGAGGAATAATGAAATTTAGAGCATATTCACCCTTTTGAATATCTATTTCTTCATCAGTTACGACAGCCCCTGAAAGGCAGTCTCAATCATTTAACCAGCAGACTATTACACATGGTTTACCTGTTTCGTTTAGTCTAAAGAGAAGGACATAAATCAATATTTCTTTAAGAATTACTCTACAACAAATAGTAGAGGTGCAACAGTAACAGGAAAACACTTAATATCACTTTAAACATTTAATTATTACAACATCCTTGTGACTTAGGTTCTCTAGGCTTTTCATAGCTGAGCAACCTGAGCCTGTAAGTTATGAGGAAAAACACAGCCTATTAAGGAGTTAGTAAGTACCAGGCAATACTGAAGCCAGGTTCATCTCACACGTAAACCCATACTCAGTGTAGCATAGGTAAAATTCAGAAATATTGGAAAAAGGAGACAGCCAGGTGTGGCCACAGTGGGATGCGGTGGTTGAGAATACAGGTTTGGGACTCAGAGGTGCCTGATGTAAAACCCTGGCTTCACTGCTACTGGCTGTATAAACTTAGACAAATTACTTGATCTTTATGTGTCTCATTTTGACTTGGCTCTAAAACATAGATTATCGTACAGGTTCTTTACTGAGACTCTTAAATTAAGAAAAGCATGTAGTCTAATTATGTGGTAGCTTAGACATGGACAGAATGCTCATAAAGCAGGAATAGAAATATTGCAGACTCTACTTGAGAATTGTTTTTGAATATTGAGATAATCCATAAAGAAAAAACATGTAGCTCAGGTTCCAACACAAAATCAACATCAGCAATTGTTCATTACCTGCACTGCCAATACTCCAACTACCGTGGCTACCATGACTATTAGGGAGGACGGACACTAGATTTATAAAATAGTAAGTAGAGAAAACATAAACTGAAGGTACTCCCTAAATTAGATTTATGGGACAATTAAGCAAAATGTACCTTAATTTTCTCCTTCTAGTTGCTGTAGTTAGGAACAAGAAAGTCATTCCCAACTAAACACCCAGACTCGAAAAGATGAGCAATCGATGTCTCGGTATTAATTGTTAACAACAGCACATCTGTAGCACCTTGGTGAACCAGGAGGAAGTTCTGCCTGGAGATACTTCTGTTGGTTGGGCTGATGTGGAGGGTGAGGTGGGGAGAGGGGATTAGTGGGGAAAGTATGGCAACATGATACCTCCATGTCCGGATGGGAAGAAAAGGATTAGATTAATTGTAAGACAGAAGGCAAGTTGTCAGAAGTATATGGAGTGATTATAAATTGGTTAAAATCAAGGCATTATAGGACACCAATACTCAAAGTAAGATTATTCATAATAACCAACAGGTGGAAACTGTTGGGAACTGCTCTGCCTGGTTTCAGGAGTTGTAACTGACTCCCATGGCTAAGGCTGAGTGAGTGACCTCTGGAATGTGAGCACAAAGGAGACAAAGCTTGTCTCTGGCAGCAAACACTGCTTCTGCTTCTTCCTCTGCCCCCAATGCATGGTTGGATAGTCCAGGATGGGTAAGACCCTTCAGAGGAGGGCAACCTAAGCCAGACACGATCACTTGGGAGGCCATCATGGAAGGACTTGGGGGGCTGCAACAAAGAGGGAGTGATGGACCCTCCCACCCCTGCTATTCTGACATAGCCCAAGTCCCCATGTCCTCTGGGAGAAGTGCTTCCTGGCTCTAATCCACTTAAGCCTGAAAATCTTTGATGGGGGAGTTGGTATAGCCCCTTGCCCAGCTAGAGCAGGATCTGGGGTGATCGGGCATAAGAAAGAATTCCTAAAAGTCCTGTGAAGCCTGCTTTGCTAAAAGTGCTTTCATTCATATGTTAAGGGTCCAAGCAGGAAATGAGTATGTCTGCAATCCCTCTTTCCTGACAGACACTGACTCAGACTAAGCCCTCAGATTTCTTTGAAATATTATCTACTGTTTGATCCTTGCCATCTGTATTCCTGTGTATTACAACCCAATAAAAGCAGTTGAGGAAGGGGCTCTTGGCCTTTCTCCTCTGAGAGACTGGCCACCTCTCCTCCCCAAGCAAATCATGTCTTGGTAGTGTTACTTTCATCTGTAGCAGATGAAGGGACTTGCTGGCAAAGTCACCCCCACTGGTAGCAACCCAAATGTCCAGTGATGATGAATGGGTTAAAAATTATTTGTACATACAATGGAATATTTCTCTGCCTTAAGCAGGAAGGAAATTTCGACATGCTACAACATGAATGAACTCTGGGAAAGACATTATGCTAAGTGAAATAAGCCAGTTACAAAATAATGACTATTATGTTTTTCACAATTCTTAGTATACATACAAACAGCATTTAATATTGACTTACCACATATGAATACCAAGAATTTTTACAGCAAATTTTTCTTTAAAATGAAACACTGGAATCTATTGCAAAGTTTCCCTAACTGAAATGCAATATGGAGCACTGCTACTCTTTATCCAGTTTGACCACAGCTCACTTTTACTACCTTTTAGATTAAATCCTCTGCATTGAGTCAATGGATTGCCATGTCTCACATCTTGTCTTCGGCTCCTCCTGTTAAGTGCAGAAACATAAAATACTTAGCATTAACACTGCCAACTGTATCACATTTAGAAGACAGCATTTTTCACTTTAAAATCTGGTGATTGACTAAGCTTTCATAAAGAAAAGAGGTCTGATTATCTGATACTTGTTGTTCAACGCTTTCATTATAATTTGGCTATTTAACTTTGCTTTTAATCTAAACTAATTCAGTCTCTCCCCAACTACTACTTGTGAAACAATGGCTATGAACTTTCTATTATGTGCATTGCCTGGGTAAATGTTAGGTTCCACGTTGATAGTGTAACTTTTAACATATACACATTCATTCAAAGTTTTCTAAGATGATCACTTTAAAAGTATAAAGTACTACCACCTTTCTTCTTATATTTTTTCTTAATTAAGCATGTCTCTTTTAAAAGTTAGTGCTTTTTAACAATTTTCAGAAATATCAAACCATTTCAAAAATAAATTATACAGTGATAGAACATGCATATTTAATATTGTATAAAGTAAAGCAAAATTGTTCATTTACTAGAATAAGCATTTTCTTTCAACTTGTTTATTTTGAAAATTATCAAGTCCATGGAAAAGTAGGTATATGAGTGCAATCAATACTGGTGTACCACCCTGGCTGGTGTAGCTCAGTGGATTGAGCGTGGTTCTGGGAACCACACAATCGCAGTTCGATTCCCAGTCAGGGCACATGCCTGGGTTTCAGGCCAGTTCCCAGCAGGGGACGCATGAGAGGCAACCACACATTGATGTTTCTCTCCTTCCCTTCCTCTCTAAAAATAAGTAAATAAAATCTTTAAAAAAATGCTGGTGTACCTAAACTCATGGATTGTTGTGATTTGCCATATTTATTTAGTATCCTCTCATATGCTAGTATATGTCATGTATGCACTATAAATATACATATAAATGAAAATCTTTACAAAATAAGTTGCAGACATGATGATGTTTTACCCTTGCATGCTTTAGCATGCATCTTCTAAGAACAAATAACTTTCCTACATATCATTATGACACTAAAGATATTATTTGTTCCATAACATCATTTTAAAATTATTATTTATGTATTTTATTGTTGTCCAAGTACAGTTGTCTCCACTTTCCTCCACCCCTTCCCCCGCCCCACACACCACTTGTACCCTTTATCTTACACCCCTTTGCCTTTGTCCATGGGTCCATGACATCATATAATACACATTTTATATTAAAAATTTACCTAGTTGTCCTCAAAATATTTCTTATAAATTTTTAAAAGCTTATCCAGAAACCATTAAGTTTCACTCATTGCATTTAATTGTCATGTATGACTAGCTTAAGCATTTCAAAAATGTAGTTACATTCCTTGTAAGTTGGTCAGTATTTAAATAAAAGTTTTAGATTATTTGCAAACTAATTATTTAATATCCTGAGTCTTAGTATTAGCTGCATATATTAGTTTCAGTTGCATTACATAGTTCAACAAATCAAAATAGAGTAACTGACTTTCTCTTAGGAATGACTTGTGGATATGAACATTGCTGTAAGAGACTAGGAGGGGAACTCTCTTTAAATGCTGGGAGTACAGGCATAAACTGACCATTTGCTATCAGTGCTGAGAAGCATATATGAAGGAGCATATAACCTCAGTGGGTTAGTTGTTAAGTCTCTCATAATATTTTTATCCTTGAAGATAAGTTAAAATATTTGGTAAGAAGAACAGAAACATTAAAATCACACAGGGATTATCAAATTTACAGAGCAAAACTAATCTCAAAGTCATTGATAATGGAAAAAAATTCAAGGTTAGAGCAAGTTGTTGATAGTTTATGTACTCAATGGGTTATACAATTCTATATATGAAAATACAGGTATAAAATTTTGTCATTTAACTAGGCTTTTCTAAAAAAGTGACATGATCCATATTCAATTTTATATTTCTTTTTTTAAAAATATTTTATTTATTTATTTTTTGAGAGAAGGGAAGGGAAGGAGACAGGGAGAGAAATATCAATGTATGGTTGCCTCTTATGCGTCCCCTGCTGGGAACTGGCCTACAACCCAGGCACGTGCCCTGACAGGGAATCGAACCGCGATACTCTGGTTCACAGGCCCACGCTCAATCCACTGAGCTATGCCAGCCAGGGCTCAATTTTATATTTCTATACAACCACACAAAAAAACTAGTATAAGTCACTCTTGTCTCAGAAAAGATGATTATTGCTGAACTCTAGAATAGCTTGTATATCAGATTTTTACTGAATTGCATTTGCTACATGAGGTCTGTCTGGAAAAAGTCCAGCCATTGTTAATATAAAGAGAATGGTTTGCATGACATGGATGTAACCTGGCAGCCAAGGAGAATGGACTGGTATGTGCATGTGTGAACAATGATGACTTCAATGTACTAGTCAGTGGGAGCGGTAGACATTGTGTATACTGTGTGGCTATTACATTCAAAATGACTGAGCAAGTAGGGCAATGAATCTGCAGCAAATTTTGCATTAAGATTGAACATTCCTCCACAAAAGCTCTTTGGATGATTCAGAAGGCCACAGCTATGTACAACTGGTGATTGGCAGCTTCATCACGACAACGTGCCTACTTGTACATCACATCTCATGCAGTTTTTTGTGAAACATCAAGTCACCCAGGTGACTCAGCCCCCTACAGTACAGACTTGGCACCCTGTGACTTCTGGCTTTTCCCAAAACTAAAATCACCTCGGAAAGGGAAGGGATTTCAGACCACTGATGAGATTTCAGGAAAAAAAGACAGAGTAGCCAATGGTGACTGGGAGAACTGTGAGTTACCAAGGTGCTTACTCTGAAGGGGACTGAAGCATCATTGTCCTATGTACAATGTTTCTTGTATCTTGTATCTTCTTCAAGAAATGTGTCTATTTTTTTATGTCATATGGCTGGATAACTTCTGAACAGACCTCATCTATTTAAGTCACAGAATTATTTACTATCAGCCAGCTAAGTGCATGTACATTATATAAGCACCGTGTGATAGTTCTTATGGCTGAATGGACCATTTTCGGCCATCAAAACAAGCAATGCCACTCACAATGGTTAAATTTATTTTTCTATGATCAACAGTGTGTTATGCTTCAATCATGTATTTGAACCCGAAAGCTGGGTAATCTCCATTTGCAGTATCACATAGCCTTCAGACATTAAAATACAAAAAGAAAAAAAAAACATTATTGTGATTTGGTTTAAATGATGAGATCAGCAAGGCCGTCATCTGAGCCTTTTGTATGTATAGAAGATTCCCTGTAAGGCATTCATACAGTATCACAAAAGCACACTGGTAGGCAGAATAAATACAGTGTTATATTACATGCAGGATTTGGGATTTGTCTCAAGCTGCCAATGTGTCCTTCATTATAGTCTATTCCTTTGGCTAAACAATGAAATCACTTTCTTCTTGTATAGAAAACAGATATTTACTTGAAGACTGAACTGATTATTCTGTCTTAAAATATAATTTCTATATAATTTCTAACTATGTATCTGAACCCAGAATAAGTAACTTTTGAGTCTAAATTGCAATAGTTGATACAAATGCCAAAATATTTAAAATACTTGCGGGTAAAGAGGAAAATGCTGACATTGTTTACTAATAATTTCTTTTTAAAAAGTTCTCTTTTTAAAGAGAAACTACTGAGCCAATAACATATAACCACTCTATGTCAAAGTATGGACTCGACTGATAGTTTAGGAAAACTCTTTCTCTCCTTCCCATACAAAGGATCTGTCTTTATTTCATATGAATTCCTCTACGTGCTATTGTTCCAGATAGATAGTACAACTGCAGTAACACCAGGAAAGTTAACACAACTAACAAAAATAAGAGTGGAAAATTCCCCAGACCTTTTATCATTACTATTTAATCTCTAAAGAAAATAAACACTAAATATGTGATAACTCAGTAAATAGTCAACTCATTCAGCAAACATGCTTTGCTTTCACTAAGATTGGAAATAATTTGGAGAATTTAAATAGTATAGACATATTTCATGAAACTTCCAATATGCGAGCCAAAGATGAGTATGGATTGGCAGACCAAAGAATATCACGTATATTATATTTTTGGCTCTTTCTCATATAATTAGAAAATTCCTACATATCACCAAGATAGCTCTTTAAATAGCTACTACTGTCTAACCCATGACACATATATGTTTTGTTTATACTGTTTTACTGAGGTATAACTGACATGTAAGTTTCAGGTGGACAACATAATTTTTCAATATGTATATATGTTAAAATGTAATCAACCAAGATAAGCCTAGTTAGCATTTGTCACCACACATAGTTGCAATTTTTTTCTTGTGAGGACAAATTTTAAGATTTATACTGCTAGCAACTTTCAAATATGCAATTCAGTATTGCATACTAGGCTTAACACACCATGCATTTCTTAATTATGGTCACCATGCTGTGCATTTCATCCTCATACATTAATCATTCTGTAACTGGCAGTTTGTACCTTTTGATCCACTTCACCCACCCTCCAACCGTCACCTCTGGCAACCATCAATCTATTATCTATATATTTGAGCTTCATTTGTTGTTATTGTTTTTAAACTTCCACATATAAGTGAGATAATATGCTAATTGTCTTACTCTGTCTGACTTATTTCACTTATCATAATGCCCTCCAGGTCCATCTTTATTTTCACAAATGTCAAGATTTCACTCTTTCTTATGGCTGAATAGTATTCCGCTGTATATATATTTTAATATACAAAATCAACATTGTAAAAATGTTGCAGTAAACATTAGGGTGCATATGTCTTTTCGAATAGTGTTTTTGTTTTACTTAATAAAATACCCAGAAGTGGAATTGCTGATCATGAAGCCATTCTCTTTTTTTTGAGAAAACTCTGTACTGCTCTCCATAGTGAATGTACCAATTTACAGTCTCACCAACAGTGCACAAAGATTCCCTTTCTTTCCACATCCTTGGTAACATTTGCTATTTCCTATCTTTTTGATAATAGGAATTCT